ATTTCTTTTATATGATGTTGGATTGTACTGGCCAGAATTTTGAGGATTTTGTTTATGTTCATGAGAAATACTGGTCTATAATTTTACATCTTTGGGGGATCTTTGCCTGGTTTGGGGATCAGGGTTAGGCTGGCTTCATAGAATGAGTTTGGGAATTTGTCGTCTTCTTCTAGATTTGGGAATATTTGTAGTATGGGTGACAGGTCTTCTCTGAATAATTTGTAGAATTCCCCTGTGAAGCCATCTGGCCATGGGCTTTCTTGGTTGGAAGTTTCTTGATGACCTGCTGTTTCTTCTTTTGTTATGGATCTGTTGCATCTTAATGCATCTTTCTACATGAGTGGATATATTTTCAGGTTATCTGTTCATTTCTTCTAGATTGCAAAATTTACTTGAATAGTTTTTCATAGTAATGTTATTATTCCTTTTATTTAGATTTGTTGTAATGTCACCCTTTTCATCTCTTCTTCTGAGTATTTGTATATTTTCTTTTTTTCCTTTGTTAAGTTTGAGAACTATGGTGCACCTGATCCAAGCCATGGTATTTTCTTTTCTTTTTTTATATCATTTTATGGGGGGCACGTACAAGTCTTATCACAATCCATCCATCCATCGTGTGAAGTACATTTGTTGCCATCATCATTCTCAAAAACATTTCCTTTCTACTTGAGCCCTTGGTATCAGTTCATTTTCCCCCTCCTTCTCCACACCCACTCCCTCACAAACCCTCGATAATTTATAAATTATTTTGACATGTCTTACACTGTTTGCCAAGCCATGGTATTTTCAATTGCATCATATGCATGTGAAAGTTGGACATTTAATAAGAAACATGAAGAATTCATGTGCTTGAATTATGCAGGCAAAGACTATTGAGAGTATCGTGGCCTGTCAAAAGGACAAACAAATCTGTCTGGGAAGAACAGCGAGAATGCACCTTAGAGGGAAGGATGGAGAGAATTGGTGTCACATGCTTCGGACATGTTTTCAGGTGAGACCAGTCCCTGGAGAAGGACATTATGGTTGGTAACGTGGAGGGACAGCAAAAGAAAAGGCCCTCGGGGAGATGGACTGACACAGTAGCTGCAACACTGGGCTCAAGCAGAGGGACATTTGTGAGGGTGGTAGAGACCGTCTGCTGGACCTAAGAGTTACTCTGAGTAGGAACAGCAGCAGAATAGTTCTTATTTCCGTTTCTAGTTATCTAGTCTCTGTAAAAGGAGCCATGGTGGCCTACTGTCTCATGTGCTGGGACCACTAACTACAAGGTTGGCAGTTGGAAACCAACAGGACCTCCAAGGGAAAAAGATGAGGCTTTCTACTCCCATAAGGAGTTAGTCTCAGAAACCCAAAGTTCAACCCTGTCCTGTATGAGCCAGAAAGTATTTGATGGCAGTTTGGTGTTTAACTCTGTGAAAGTCCTAAATATAGGTGGAAAATATATGTAAAAAAGGTAAACTGCTGGGCAGCATTTGCCCAAGAACACAGTTCAGAGGTTGGATGGGATAGGAGAGGAAGCAGTATAGAAATGGCGAGAAGTGGGAGAATGAATTATATTGTGGGGATTGTAATCAAAGGCGTGAAAGGAAAATGTGTATGAATTCTTGACTGGGAACTGATTTACTCCATATATCTTTATCCAAATTGGGGGGGGGGGGTGAGGACCTGATGCTGGGGGCTTAAGTAGAGAGCAAATGTTTTGAGAATGACGAGGGCAATGAATGTACAAATGTGCTTTACACAATTGATGTATGTATTGATTGCGATAAGAGTTGTATGAGCCTCTAATAAAATGATCTAAAAAACTTTATCCAAATCACAGTAAAAATGTTTTGAAAAATACAACCTGAATTATTTATATGCAGTAGGGAAAAAAATTCAAACCCAAAGCTGCAACAATGGGCTCAAATATAAGAACAACTGTAAACGATGAAGCAGAACCAGGCAGCGTTGTACCTAGGGTCGCTATGGGCTGGAACCAACTTAGCAGGAGCAAACAACAAAGGTGTATTATAGGTAAATGATATTTACTATGGCACACTTATGAGGGTACTACTGTGAAACTAGTAAAAGGATGATGTAGTAGTCTGGTGACGCTGTGCATGAGGCGTTGTACAAGGTTTGTGGTTCACACCCACCAGGCACTCCTCAGGAGTTAGATGAGGCTGTCTGCTTCCGCAAAGATTTACCGTCCCTGGACCAATATATATATATAGGATTACCATGAGTTGGAATTGACTCAAAGGCAATAGGTTTTGTGAGTTAGGGGCAGTGGCATTATATAATAGGCAAATGCCATGCTGAATGAAGAAATCAGGATACAAATGCATTTGAAAAAGACAAAGAAATGTTAATGGGGCAGCAACTGGAATGTAAATTTTCTCAAATGAACATGTTTTATAGAGGGGGAAAAGGCAAATTCTATGTTAGGATTAATCGTGAAAACACCATGTATATGCCAGAACAAGATGGCTTATAAGCCACTATAAGAGAAACAATCCAGCAGAGGCCAGAGGTGGACCTCTTGCGTTCATGGAGATGGAGTGGGTAACAAGTTGGAAACTACCAGACGCTCCAAAGGAAAAGATGGGGCTTTTTTATTCTCTTAAAACAGTTATAGTCTTGGAAACTCACAGAGGGTAGTTCTACACTGTCCTATAGAGCACTATGAGTTGGAATTAACTTGATGACAGTTTGACACCACTCTTGGCACATACTGAAAGTTTATACATTTAAGAAAATAAACTGTTCCTCACAGAAGGGTCACAAGGAAGGGATGAGTCAACCAGGGTGCAGTATAGCACTAATGAAACACATAATATTCCTCTTATTCCTTAAGGCTTCCTCATCCCCACTCCCCCCCACCCCATCATGACCCCAGTCCTGCCTTTCACTGTGGGCTAAACTGGAGCATGTACACAGGTACAGATAAGAGATTTGAGCTCACAACACTTGGAATCCAGGAACAGGAATGGGAGTAGTGATACCAGAAAGGTAGGGGGAAAGTGAGGGGAGGAGAAGAGGAAGGGGGAACCAATCCCAATGATTGGCACAAAACCACACACACAGCCCACAGGGACAAAGAGAAACCATGGAAGTAGGAAGACAGTGGTCGATGTAAAGTATGAAAATAATAATTTATAATTTGCCGGGGTCACGAGGGTGAAGGTGGGAGGGAAAAAAGGGGAGCTGATACCAAGGGCTCAAATAGAAAATGTTTAGAAAATGATGATGGCAACTTATGTAGAAATGTGCTTGATACAATTGATGTATGCATTGTTATAAGAGATATGAGCCCCCAATAAAATGACCTTTGAATTAAAAAAAATCTTTATTTTTTTTATTCTTTAATTTTACTAAAGACTGGATTTCCTATATTCCTTGACTACCAAAAAATTCATATTCAGATTGGTTTTTTTATTGTTTTTACCAAAGCTTTTATTTTTTTAACATTTTTTTTAAAAAATCATCTTACTGGGGGCTCATACAACTCTTATCATAATCCATACATACATCCACTGTGTCAAGCACTGTCATACATTTGTTTCCCTCATCATTCACAAAACATTTTACTTCTACTTTGAGCCCTTGGTATCAGCTCATTCTTTCCCCTCCCTCTCAGCTCCCCCTCCCCCATGAACCCTTGATAATTTATAAATTATTTTGTCATATCTTACACTGTCCGATGTCTCCCTTCACCCACTTCTCTGTTGTCCATCCCCCAGGGAGGAGGTTATATGTAGACTTCTGTAATCTGTCCCCCCTCTCTCCACCCTCCCGGTATCGCCACTCTCACCACTGGTCCTGAAGGGATCCACCCTGGATTCCCTGTGTTTCCAGTTCCTATCTGTACTAGTGTACATCCTCTGGTCCAGCCGGATTTGTACAGTTGAATTGGGATCATGATCGTGGGGGTTGGGAAGCCTTAAAGAACTAGAAGAAAATCCTATGTTTCATCATTGTTACACTGCACTCTGACTGCCTCGTCTCCTCCCCGCGGCCCTTCTTTAAGGGAATGTCCAATTTCCCAGAGATGGGCTGTGGGTCCTCACTCTGCACTCCCCCTCACTCACAAGGCTATGATTTTTAAGGTCTTTGATGCCTGATACCTGATCCCTTCGACGCCTCGTGATCTCACAGGCTGGTGTACTTCTTCCATGTGGGCTTTGTTGTTTCTCAGTTAGATGGCCTTATTTTTTAATTTTTGTTTTGTGTATTAGCCGCCAGCTTACAGACCAACTTTATATCCAGCGAATCATATACTTTTTTTCAACTCATCCAAGGCAATCCCCTCTAAGTGACATCACTTATCCCACTTCCTCCCTATGTGTCCTGAGTGTTTCCATGCTGCCCTTCTGGTCTGAAACAGTTGATTCTTCTTCATACTTAGATTTTCAAGGACGTAGATTAAGACAAAATAAAATCTCCTGAGCAAATCATTCCTGTGCTAATAAATGGTAAAAGGAAAATGTTGTGCCAATGTATGAAAGAGAAAAATTATCCCTTACCATCTGTCAAGATGTTTACAAACCTCAATTTTAAAAGTAAGGAATTTAAAATAAAACCATGGAAAAAAATGAAATCTGGGAATTTAGGTATCTTTCAGACTAACTTCTCAATTGTCTATCTATATTCCTTCCAAAGGGATTTAATGTTGTCTCTATAAACAGAAGAAATGCCTGAGAAATGCTGGTTCTAAGAATCAAAAACAAAAAGGAAACTCACTGCCACTGAGTCTTTTCTGACTAATTGTGACCTCACAGGCAGAGTAGAACTGTCCTTTTCGGGTTTCTGAGACTTTTAAATCTTTACATCAGACAGCTTCACCTTTCTTCCTCTAAGTGATTGGTGGGTTTGAACCCTTGACTTTGGGGTCAGCAGCTCAATGTGCAGCCCACGACACCACCAGAGCTCCTTAGTTATATGCATAAGCAAATAAACTCTACAAATATGTGAAGATTCGTTAACGTTAGAAACACTAATGAAAGAAGGTGTCGTGCCACAGTTTGAACTTCACTGTTTTAATATCATGAAATACCATTGTTTTAATATCATGAAGTACAAGTACAAAACATTGTACAAGTTTTTACCACATTAAGAAGGAATGGAACGTTTGTACTTTGACCAGAATCTGTATCATCTAGCACTAACCACTACACCAACAGACTTACATTGGAACTTATTAATTCTATGAGGCTTTATCATGAATAAAAAGCACAACACCTCTTTTCCATTGCAAATTGGCATTCACCTTACCATTCCAGTTAAGCTGCTTTGAAGAACCTTTAATAAAGGAAAAATCGCCTTAGCGGTGAGTGCTGAGCAGGTAATAGTATTTCACATTAGTCAAAGTCTTCTATGTGGGCATCGCTAAGACACTGTGCACTATTTGGGCTAAAAAAACATGTGGTCTCAGTAGCCCTCTTCCTGTTTAGAAAGGCAAATTACTGTTTCCTGAAAAGTTCAAAATATTATGAGAATTAACCAGTAATCCATGAATCTCATTTACATAAGACAAATCAGTGGTCCCAGTGTCATAAAACTTCACATGCACGGAAGAAAATCAAGTCTGTCTGTAAATAGTCAAACTATCTTTCCTACCTCGAAACTGGTTTAAGCACATAAAGAGTAAACTGTGTTAGTGCCTAGCTTTGAGTCTAGGGTCTTTTCAACTCAGTTTTCTTATGACAGACAAATCCGATGAAAGCACTGTTTATTTTATTGGGAAATGTGAAAAAGAAAACATCATACGACTAATTTCATAAAACACTGGAAATGAATTTTGTTCATGAATTAAAAAAATGCCATTTGTCATTTTTAAAAGTTTTAATCCTCATTCTTGCTGCTAAAAAATTATTCAAAGTTATGTCAGTCTTTAAGAATAAACTTTAGGGTATTCAAAATAATGTATGCTTGGAAAACTGAACCACATTTTCAATTGCCAGCTTTATGCTTTGTTCTTGATAGAATCATCTTTGTTTCTTCTTTTTACATCCCAATTATAAACCCTAGCCATATCTGCAAGAAATGTCAAAGAAAAGGTAAATACAATTTTAAAGGCACAAAGATCATGCACACAAAATACTAGTAATAACTAGCATTATAAGTAGTTTTGCTACAACATTTAGCTGCTGAGATTGGTATAAAATGAACAATTGTTAGCATTCAGAGTCAAATCTGGTATTCCATTTAACAAACATGTGCTAGACACTGTCAAGTTTCAAAGATAGTCCCTCCTCCTGACCCAACCACGTGATATTTAAATCGATCTAATTATTACGTACATACTCGAGTATAAGCCGAGTTTCCCAGCACATTTTTAATGAAGTTTTTGTGGTAAAATTAGATGCCTCAGCTGATATTTGGGTCAGCTTATACTAGAGTATATACGGTAATACTCTACTTTTTTTATATATATATAACCTCCTCCCTGGGGAACAGACAACAGAAAAGTGGGTGAAGGGAGACGCCGGACAGTGCAAGATATGACAAAATAATAATTCATAAATGATCAAGGGTTCATGAGGAAGGGGGCAGCGGGAAGGGAGGGGGGAAAATGAGGACTTGATGCCAGGGGCTTGAGTGGAGAGCAAATGTTTTGAGAATGATGAGGGCAATGAATGTACAAATGTGCTTGACACAATTGATGTATGTATGGATTGTGATAAGAGTTGTATGAGCCCCTAATAAAATGCCAGTAGTACTCTTCTATTGTACCCTCCCTTTAGTTTTATGGGGCATTCGAACATCTACTACAGCTCAGAGGCGGCGCTGAACAAAGGCCTGACTAAAGAGGGGAAGTCTCTCAGCCTTATCATGTACTGAATTGAATCACCCTTCATAGTTGGGGTCTCAAGAGATGGAACACAATCTCCAACACTGTCAAAAAGGCATTCTCCAAGTCGGCAGGGCTCATCTCCAAAGAGACCTCCTTTTCTTTAGCTCCTATAGCTATAATTATTTTGTCTTCTCACACGGAGTATGTTTTCCTTTCCAGAAGCATCGCCCTCGCCTTGGCCCCAAGTCATCTCATGGAGGGATGAAGTCGCTCTACATTAGCTGTCAGTCAGATGGACCCTGCACTAGGCTTCTGATGTGCCCACCTTCCCTCACACAAAGGCTGAGTCTCTGCCATGTGCTACAGAAGCTTACTAAAGAATTAGGCTTATTGGCAGAGCACACAAGAGGAGGATTGGGGCAGGGAGATGACACTGGCTGCCTGGGGGCACTTCATAAGGTATCTATACTCATAGCTTATATGTGACAAGGCTCAATGAAGCATTTTCACAGGGGGAAAAATGGGACTTTTATATTGGAGACAGTGCAATGGCCTGACTCTAAAAACAGCTACTGTAAACTATGGCAATGGTAGGAAAAGCTGACAAAGCTGTGGGGGCTGAGTGCATCTGGGTGGCAAGGGAGGCAGGAGAGAAGAGGACAAGGGTTAGAGGAAGCCTGGGAGAAGAAAGGAAAGAGGTGCTCGAGCCTAAGCCCATCCTTTCCCCTAATCCAAATGTCCTACATTCCCCACCCCTTCCTCCTCCACCTCTTCTCTCTGCTACTCGAAATCAGAAAGTGCCTTTAAACGCAGATCAAGTTTTATCTTCTCTACAAAGCCTTTTCTGAACTAACTCCAGCTCACACCTATCATCCTGACTTTAACGTGAAGCGGATGCCTTGGTGGCACAGTGATTAAGTGCTGGGCTGTTGAGGGACAGGCCAGTGGGTACCCAGACACCAGCTGCTCCACACGAGCGATGTGGCCATCAGCTTCTGTAGCGGAAACCCTATAGGCCGGTTCTATTCTGTTCTATGGGACTGCTGAGTCAGAGCCCACTCAGTGATTCAAAACAACATGAAATTGCCTTGGTGTATATATTAAACTTACTTTTATTTTGCTAGGAAACGCACATTTAACTGTTTTTACATGTGTAGTTCTAATGGAGGAAGACTCTGTTACTATCTTTGTAGCAATGATTCCCTCACTAGCCCTCTGCCCTGTATGGCTCGGCAAAATTGTACAAACATAGGGGACCTTTAACAGATGCTTCTGTTATAAACTACCTAATTAGCCAAGAAGGTTTTTTGAAAAAAATGTTTGTAAGAAAAGTGCTCCTTCGCCAATTTGAATTTGCTGTTATCATATCTGCACATTTCAAATTAATGAGTCTATCTGCAAGCTTACTGAATCATTACCTACATCCATGATTATTATTTTCATTATTTTGCAACCTAAATTAGCATAAGAGTATCTTACTCATTAAAGCAACACAAGTAAGAATGTTAAATACAGATTTCTACATTTTACCTTTCCCTCGTTTTTGGTTTGTTTGTTTTTTAAAGAAAGGATACTGACTTCCGTGGTAGTAAATTGGTCTCGAAGAAAGTCCAGGTCTTCCTCGAGAGAATCCAGATTCTTTGTGGCGGTTCCTAAGTTCTTTTCCAACAGTGCCTGTGCTTCATCAATATCATATTCCAGCATTACATTCGCCTGAAGAGAGACAGTAATGGCTCCAATGAGTATTTACACAGTGCTTTAGATAGGTTCCTCTCATAGAACCTAGAGGGCAGGGTGGAACTGCCCCTGTGAGTTTCCAATACCATAACTCTTGACAGGAATAGAAAGTCCCATCTTTCTCTCTTGGAGCGGTTGGTGATTTGGAACTGCTGACCACGAATCGGCTTATACTCTTTGGCAGTGAGTTTTGAGTTTTTATATAGGTTAGAACAGGGGTTGGCCCTCAGGTCAAAGTTGATCGATCCACTGCTTGTTTTTGTAAATACAATTTGATTGGACCCAGCTAAGCTCTATTCATTTACATATTGTCTCTGCTTTTATGCCCCAGTGGCAGAGCTGACTACTTGCAACAGGGTATGGCAAAGGTCATCTACTTTTCTATAGCTCAGAAAATGAAGACTCAAGTGGGTCAGCTCACATCGTTCTTAAATAAATGGGAGGTTGAAATCACCAACTGCTCCAAGGGATCTCTGATAAAAAGTGACAGTCCTGGAAACCCACAGGGGTCGTGATTGGAAAGAGACTCAATGGCAGTGAGTATTGAGAATCAGGCTGCTGGTTATGCTAATGAAGTAAGATGTGAGTGAGATTCAACCCCCTCACTCAGATCTCAGGCTTATTGTTCTAAGAGAGAAAAAGGAGCAGACAGGGAGACCTCACTACCACCCGAAAGAGCCAGGGACAGAGCACATCCTTGGACCCAGAGTCCCTGCAATGAGAAACTCCTAGACCCTGGGGAAGATTGAATCCAAGATACAGGTCTTTCACCAGAGCTGACAGAGAGAAAGCGCTCCCCTAGAGCTGGCACTCCGCACTTGGACTTCCAGCCTCTTGAACATGCCCCCCCCAGGTTTTGGAATCTGGGATTATGAGAGGATATCACCACTGTGATGGTGTTACGTCCTGGGGCTGAGCCAACTTTAATATGAGGAGATTTTCTGGGTGAGCCTAATGTAATCACACGAGGCCTTAAAAGCATCACAAACTTCCTCTGGCTAGTGGTAGAAAGGCATGTCAGAAAGACTGGAAGTGTGAGAAGGAGCTCACATGCCACTGCCTCTAAACGCTGAGAGGTGGCCCCCTGGCTTACAGGCATCCGGACTCTGACCTCCTACAGAGTTTTAACTGTTGTTAGGTGCCATGAGTCGGTTCTGACCCAGAGTGACGCTATGCACACTAGTTAGTTATGAGATTTTAAGCCATGAAGTTTGTGGTGATGTTACAGCAAGAAAACAAAACAGCTCCTTTCACTCAGCAATGTGTGAGACTCATCCTTGTTGCATACAGCAGTTCGTGAACCCTGGGTTCTGTACAGCATCGCATGGCGATGATAGGGAACAACTGATGCAGCCATTCCACTGCTGATGGATATTTGCGTTGCACTATGAACTGAGCTATGCCCCCTAAACTATGTCAGGTTTCAACCTTATTTGCAAACAATTTTTCTTTCAAATATTACGTTAACTTTACAAATCATACAGGGGTACGGTGAGTCCTACTCCCATGTGTGGTATCTTACAATGATGAGCAGACACAGACACACAGAGAGAAGACATCAAGTGAAGGTGCATTGAAATGGGATTAGAATCGGATTATCCTCCCTTGTGAAGCCAGAGGAGGTCAGATGGGCCTCCATGCCACTTACTAACCACTTTAATAAAAATAACATGGGCACAATCTCCACTATAAATGTATGCAATGGTAGTGCTAGCAGGAATAGCACAGCCAGAACGTGTCTAACTTTAGAGTGCAAAATGTAAATCAACATCAGACCAAGCTTAATTCCTAAGAAGTGGAAGTCAGACATACCTCTATTCTCCCATGTTTTTACCCACTCTGACCACTACTATCTCTGTCTTCAGTGGTACAGCCCCTGACTAATGTTACCGCTCGTTTAGAAGGTTCCTTGCCTCCCTTCTGCTTTCCCCTTCTGTTTCTCTTTCTCTCTGAAATCCTCTATGGATCGGGTTACTAAAACACCCAAACTCCTTGTCAATTCAAAGCATGGTATTTCCATCAGGGTCACGAACTGACTGATGCCTTCTTGATAGGCCACAGAAACTTCATTTGCATAATAGGCTACAACTCACCTCATCTGCATAATCTATTAAATAATTCCTGCAAGGGCAGGCTGCAATTCAGGATCAGACGAAAAATATCACACCAAGTTGTTTACAGGCTACCTAGGAAATGTCAATTAACCTGGACAAAAATAACAAACCCTTTGGGGTAAAAACAAGAACAAAACAAAGCAAAAAACTCCTTAAGGCCGGGGAAGAGGGGTGGTAAGCTCCACCCCCAGCCCCCACCCAAGAATCAAGGCAAAAGACCAATAAAAGAAACAATTTCATCGCAATATGTCTATGTAGATATACAGAAAAAAAGAGCTCATCCCTGGAGTGTGTAGGATTAGGATTTCAGAAAGGAGAGAGACTTTCATTTTTTATTCCATATTCTTCTGCATCATTTGTTTGTTTTTGCAACAAGCTTATGTTAAATTTTACTTTGAAACATTTTTCCAAAACTGAAAAAGAATCAGCATAACCTGAAGAGGAGGAGAAGGTCCTGCCATGGAAGGTTTTCAAGCTTGGGTGCTGCGGACCAGATTGGTGAGCCAAAGGAAAGGCAAATTTGTCAACCTATACACCCTGAGGATCAGCCAGAGTTCTTCAGACAGCAGCCAACAAACCAATGACAAAAATGATTACATCTGGGGATGGAAGAGGAGACTACAGCTTCCCATTATAAATTTTCTGACCTATTTGATCTTTTAACCATGAGCATGTACAGTTACAATTTTTAAAAGCAATCGAAACATCATTCATCCAACAAACTTTTACTGATACATGCCAGATATTTTTCTCTTGGCTGAAAATACAACTCCTCACTTACATTCAAGCAGGGAGCACAAATAGTAAACTAATAATAAACACAATGGTCCATAATCTATCAGGGAATGAGATATTGTTTCAAAGAAAAACCGCAAGAGAAGCTGACACAAGAGGACGCGGTCAGCAGATGAGTCACAGTAGGTCTCTTGAGGGAGCTCACGGTTTAAGCACAGGAATCGGTGCAGGGAGTACGGCGAGTACAGACCTAGAAGCTGAAAGGTGGGGACTGTGAGGAGGTCACCAGGCTGAAGCAGAGTGACAGGAAGAACAGAGGGAAACAAGTGATGGGAGGGAGTGGGGCTGGCGTTTATGTAAATCAAAACCTCTCAATTCAGCCCTTGGTGATGGGGAAACTACCGGAGTGTCTTGAGCAGTGAAGTGGTTATTTGACGCACTTTAAAAGGCATGTACCGGTGGTTCAAGGGAATGGTCAATAGGTAATTGTAAAAGCTGCACAAACTCCATTTCTTCAACAAATTTTTTCATGATTACTATGTGCCAAACATTCTCTCTTTGGAAAATCAACAGTGAACCACTCAGAACCTGACTTGCATGAGGTTTAAATTCCTATTAAAGAAGCGGGGGGAGGAGGGGCAGTGACAGGCAAAATACAAAGAAGTAGGTAAACATGTAGTTTGTCAGGCAGTTATGAGGCAAAATCAAAGAGAAACAGGAACTGTTAGGCTGACTGAGTAGAAGGCAACAATGGAACAGAGACCCGAAGGGAGTAAGAGCTGGGAACATCTGGAAAAAGTACTTCAAGCAGAGTGCACAGGCAAAATAAAGGTGGGCCCATTCCCTGCATGTTCCTTCTAGGTCTAGCCAGAAACCCAGCATGAGCATGCAAGGAAAAAAGCAATTGGGAATAAGATCAGAGAAACTACAGGGGTTATCAGACTTGTGATCCATTCAAAAGAGAAACTTAGGCTTTCCCTCTAATGAGATCAAAAGCTTCTCAAAGGTTTTAGACAGAAGGAGGAAAATAAGGCCATTATTCCTGTAGTCATGGTGGGAGGTTTGGATGGTTTGTACCAGGGTAGTGCAGCTGAAGAATAAAAGAAGTTGTTGGATTCTCATATACAACTAAGAGAGCATTCCACTCCCATAGAGTTAGTCTCAGAGACTCAAAGGGGCAGTTCTACCAAGTCCTATAAGGTCTCTCTGAGTCAGCATCAACTCGGTGGCAGTGAGTTTGGCTTTTGGTTTATAAAGCTAAGAAGACTTGCTGATGAACTGCTTTAGGGAGGAATCAAGGGTTTTGTTGTGGTTCTGCCATTGACTGAAGGGAAAGAGAGTGGGAAGTGCAGGGCCTGGGGAGAAGTCAAGGGCTCAAATAAGACAGACATAATGAGCTGGAAAAGCTCAGAAAATAAAGTGAAGAGTAAGAGAAAAACCATTATGAAAGCCAGAGTCAAAGCAACTAAACCAAATACATGTTATTCTGAAATTTATAGATGACAAGCCAGAAAAAATCATAAATGAAATTCAAAAACCAAATATTAGAAAACTACCATATATACTTGAATATACGTCGAGTTTTCCAGCACATTTTAAATGCCGTTTTTGTGGTAAAATTAGTTCCCTAGGCGGATATTCGAGTCAGCTTATACTTGAGTACATACGGTAATACAGAAAATATGATAGATAATGAAAACAAAAGACATTAAATTATTTCTTACTCCCAAAGAAAGTAATAAAAGATACTGAACAAAACAAACATTTAAACGTGTAACAGAAACCATCTTTCCTGAAATAAAAACTTTAACTCGTGAATCAAAGGGTCACATCATCTCTAGGAAAAACAAATAGCAATACAGTAAAATCAATGGCCTCTAAGACACATTTAAGTTTAGTTTTTAAATTTCAAAGGATTAAAAAAAGGATCAGTAATAACAGTGAATCTCTCCTTTTAAATATAGAACTAAAATTAAGCAAGAGTGGGAATTATGGTTGTTGAATAAAATGTCAAAGTTGTACAAACTCTTTAACATTGATATAACAAAAATCGAAAGCTGGAACTAACAAATACAGAATCAAGTTTCCACATGCTATTCTGCTCATCGTGTAGAGCTCACCTACTATTTCTATAAGACAAAAAGTGCTGACTCCAAGCGACCCAGTCAGACAGGGCAGAAATGCCCCGGGGGAGTTTCCCAACTGTAATGCTTTCTAGGAGTAGGAAGCACTGTCTTTCTTCCAAGGAACTAGACGCCCTGGTGGCGTGGTGGTTATGCACTGGGCTGAGATCCACTCCTCAGGAGAAAGATGGGACTTTCTACACCCACAAACACAAACTTGGAAACTCCCAGGGGCACGCACTTCAACTCTATCCTACAGGGTCTTGATGAGTCAGCATCAACTCAATGGCAAAGAGTTTGTTTATTTTGGGTTCTCGTGCGGGGTGGCTAGTGATTTCGAACTACTGCCCTTGAGGCTTGCAATTCAACATGTAACAACGATGCCACCAGGGTTCCTATATCAGCTGACAGAAGACAAAACTCTATCGTGAATGGGTAAACTTGTAATGCTGCTAAGAGGAGCAAGATAGAAAAATTATAGAAAAAGAAGGTCTTAGAAATTATCTAAAACTGAAAACTAATCCTCAAGGTCTCTGTAACAATCTTTTTCTCCATAACTTAAGAGGGATCTTTCTAGAACTAATAAACTTTTGTGGAGAAGACACATTTATCATAAGTTTAGCAATACACTTTCTCTTTTGTTCCTATTCCATTTCCTTTGTCACATTCAAGTCAAATAAGGTAGCGAGGGTTTGGGTCAGTTTGTTTTGATGGGAGAAGAGAGATGTGAGCATCATGTTACTGTGATGCTCAAACTCCTAATTCCAGGCAGTTTCCAGTATGACTGACTAGGATTGGACCCTGTATTAGTCTAGGTACTTTGGAGAAACAAATCCACGGTGACTCATGTATAAGAGAGTTTTATGTAAAGAAAAGGTGCATCACGAAAACATCCCAACCCAATGCTGCCCAAGCCCACAAGTCCAACATTAGCCCATTAACCCAACACCAGTCCACAAAGTCCTCCACCTCACAAAACAGAGGCAATGATGCCAACTGCAGGAGGAAAGCTGAGTCCGTGAACGTGTAAGCATCTCAGCACTGGCAAGGGTCTCCACACGGCTGCTCCAGCACCCAGGGCTGCATCGGGATAGATCCATGCGGCTTCTTCTTGGGGATGTCTTGTAGGAAGTTAATCTTGCAAACTGAAGCAGGGAACTGCTAAGGCAGCTGCACCCGATACAACCATCACAAAACAAGAGACCAGAGAACTAGAAAGGCCGAGGCTCACCACCCATTTATCCCTCCGCCTTTCAACCAGCACCACATGTGATTATTGGCCAGGCTGGCACAATTAACTAACTCAGACCCCTTAGTTGCTTCTATAATCAAAGGGAGATACGCCCTTTAGACATATTAGGAATCCTGTTTGGCTGGAAGAGCACACTGGTTGACAAATCCCAGCTGAAGAAGCTAGGCTTAAGACATTTACTTACCCCGAGCCACAGACACACTTTGTCAGTAGGAGGAACAGAAGCTTTGCAGTACAGGTTATCTGCCAATAAGAATCTGGTCTCCAGTGACTTGGTGGACTCCTTAAAAAAATAGAGTATTGTAACAGGCCTATTAATATCAAGGCTCTCAAGGAAAGAATCTCTAAGCTGCATGCAAGACAGATGTATAGCAGCACCATCATCATGCAGATGTAATGATAAAAGACAGGACACTGGGGTCGGATATCTGGGCATCGATTCTGGCTCAACTACGTACTAGCACTGTTAATGTGGCATGTCACTTCCACTCTGCGTGTCTCAGGTCCCTCATCTGTAACATGACCATACTAACAGTCCCTACAAGAGCTCCTGGGTGGCACAAATGGGTAAGACCCACCACAAGATGCCGCAGAAGACAGGCCTGGAGATCTGCTTCTGAAAGGTCACAACCTTAAAAACCATATGGGGCAGTTGAACTCTGCACAAACGCAATGAGTCAGACTCCACTTGGTGACGAGTACCGCCAACCTCTACACCTCTGAGGGATTGGGTCAACACAGCATACAAAGGTGGCCATGCACAAGTACACAGGAAACTCTTACAATCGGAATAAACTCAATGAATTGTACAAGAATTCACTGCTATTATGTTGTGACTCATGTTCAATCACATAACTAATCAAAAACAGATGTAAGTAATCATCTCGATAAAATGGGCTGATAAAATGTAATCTTTATAGCCTGGTTTGATATAATGAGTACTAAAGGAAGACTCAGAAGATTGCCAAATTCAGTTCTGCAAGGAAGTAGCTATGTGACACAGATCAGGTAAAATCTAGCAGATATAAAATAGGAACGTGAAACAGTTTCTAGGAGTATTTCCAGTTCTATAATTCTTTGACTTACTCCTTTTTTTCATATGGTTCTTTTTTTTTATTGTGGAAAATGACTTACTCCTTATTCTTAATAATATTAAGACATTCTGAAATGCTGCTACCTCAAAATACGGCATTTTCTTTCTTTAGAACAATTCCAAATTGTATTTAATTTTCATAAACACCACATGTAAGTAACTTATGACATCTGGGCCCCAGAAGGAAATCTGACTTGTGAGGCAAGCGCCACCACCACAGTGTTCAGTGCAATACACGGTGTGCGTAACGATGGGATGCACTCAGCAACGCAGGCTGAGCACAAACGAACCAACAGTGACCCAAGGGCCCAGGGAGTGTGCCTCTGCCTAGTTCACGCCTATTTACAAACAGAAATATACTAACTTTTTTCTTCTGCATGTATTTGAGAATTTCTAAAGTCTGCTTGATTTCTGGAATCTGTCCTTTCAGCCTGTGAACAAGCAAACAAACAAAACATTAACTTAGAGTTTTACAGGTAAGAATAAAACGCCAGGACAGTCTTATTGGCCCTGTGTTTTCGAGCTGAGAACCATTTACAAATATATGTAATAGACAATGGGGGAAAGCCAGATCATATCATGCTTCTAGTCAAAAACCGCAGTACTCCAGACGCCCTTTACTTTGCCCCACTTCCTATCTCCATAGTACCTATCACCTACTACCCTACTACAGGATTTCTTAACATTTCTGGCCAGAATGTCAGCTTCAATCAGGCAGAAATTCTCATATGCTTTGTTCATTGATAGATGCCTAGGTGCCTGGCATATATTAGCTGAACTGAAATGAAAGTTTATTGTCTTTTCCCCCAACTAGCCTGTAGCCTCCACAAGCACAGGGATTTTTGTCTGTTGAGCTCACTGTTGTATCCCAGGTGTACATTCTGGAAGGCTGCAGTTATAGAGTCATTTTTACCCCTCCCATTTAGGCCTAGAGCATATATTTCAAACTAAAGTTCCAACCATACAGAAAAAAAAAAAAAACCAACCCACAAACGGCCCCGCTTTCCCTCCTCTACATCATCAATTTCCCCCTCTACCTTACCCCTCCCTTCGCACCCCAACCCGTTATTTCCTCCACCTTAACAAACAACCTGCTTGATTTTACTTCCTCTTCTAGCTCCTTATCTTTCCCTTTTATAGCAAAGCTCTTCAAATTGTCCATATACGATGCCTTTATTTCCTTTCCCTGTTCTCTGGATCCCCAGAAAATGCTCATGTCAAGGTCACCGATGACCTTTCTTTCCCTGTTCTCTGGATCCCCAGAAAATGCTCATGTCAAGGTCACCGATGACCTTTCTTTCCCTGTTCTCTGGATCCCCAGAAAATGCTCATGTCAAGGTCACCGATGACCACTTGCTGCCAAATGGGTAGGCAATTCCCAGCCCTCAATTGAACTGCGGTACCCTTATTCTCAGATACCTTCCCTTTCCTTCCACGAGCCCCCTATTCTGGTTTACTTCTGGCCATACTAGTTGCCCCCTCTCAGCTTCCTATGCTAGATCCTGATGGTCTCCCATACTCTAAGAGAGACGTGCCCCAGAGTATGGTCCTAAGGCCAACGTCTCTTCTCTATGACCTCTTTGAATGAAACAGTTTTACTGTTTGTAAAATAAAATTTTTAAAAAACTTTTATTACCAAAGTAGCATGTGCACGCTGTAGAAAACTAAAACAGATAAGCAAATAAAAACATCAGCAATCACCACTATTAATATGCTTTTAGTGTCGATTCTTTCATTTTTCTGGGCATACACTTTTTTCTAAAATGAGAACAGCTTATTGTTTCCTGACCCATCTTGCCATGTCAATGACTTTTCAGCCCATTCAAACTTCCCCCAATTATTACCAAATTCAAATGAAAGAACACATCTAAAACCAGTCTTTAGACGGTTTTGTCCCGTCAGTCTACCTCCAAACTCAAAAGCAGCATTTCAGGTTATAAAGCCATCTCCCCTTGGGAATTTTCCCTTTCGTTCCTTGTACCCCTCCAGATCATGCCTTCCCCTCAACACTTTGTACAAAAGCACATTACTGCTCTGCTTTTGATATTATCTATGACCTCCACCCCTAGATTGTGTCCTTGCTGAAAGTAGATCTTTCACTACCATCGAGTCAACACTGACTCACAGCGACCCTCTAGGACAGGATAGAACTGCCCCTCTGGGTTTCTGAGACCGGAATTCTTTAAAGGTGTAGAAAGCCTCTTCTTTCTCCAGAGGGGCTGCTGCTGGTTTCGAACTGCAAACCTTGTGGATCATAGCCCAACTGGTAACCATGACGCCAACAGTGGGCATTCCAGAAATACATACTGACTATTTGAAGAACACTGACTCCTGAAGATTGCAGATAGCCGTATTTAATGCAGTGAACTTTTTTTAACAGTGAAGCCACTCTAAAACTATAGGGAAATAAAGGATTGAGAGCAAGGATACCATTGCCTGGGCAAAGTCATAACTTCTGTGAGTCTCTCACCTCAGTGAAAAAAGAAGCGTGAGCTAAGATGCTAGGACCTCAGCTGCTTTGGTATAGGGGCTTCACTATCCTTTGGACTCGGTGTTCAGAACCTTCTTGAGACTGACAAGTGCTGGGAAGACAGTGGAACGATTAAGGCGTCTTATACATTCTTGGTGAGTATAAAATGGGAACGACTTTGGAGAACTTCAGCAATTTCTCATTACATTGACTATACACTTACCAAGTAACTCAGCAATATCCACATCTAAAGTGCATCCCAGGGAAATGAAAACGTATGTTTACACAAAAATTTAAGAGCCAACCCCCAAGACTATGGTCCCTAGACACCCTTCAGGTATAGCACTGGTCTCTCACCCCCTTCTTGGCTCAACCTTCAGTCAAACAATAGACAAGCCTATAAGGTGAACACCACCAACGGGAGGTACGCACTCCTAAGAACAACCAACCATACAAGAGCCAGAGGGCAGCATTTGCCCTAAGATAAGCTCAGAAGGAAGAAGGACAAGGGAAGCAGGAGGAATGGAACCTGTTAGCATGGGGAGGCAGTGGGCAGAGTGCTGTCCATTGTGGCGATTGCTAATGTCGCAAAACAAAATTCACAAGAATTGTTGAATACAAACCAATGCCCCGGAAATGTTCACCCAAATCACAACAAAAAGTTAAAAGCAAACAAAAAACCACTTCAGAGTATACATCCAAATGACTACCAAAAAATTCCTACAATGCAACACAAGCTGGTACTAAAAAGGCACTAACTATTCAAATGCATATGGCAGTCTCTCAAAAGCATCAAGTCCAAGAAGCCTGGCACAGCACTTACCATATGTTTCTATGTACTTGACATTCAAGGACCAAAGCAAACTCATGTCTGCTTGTGACTCACAGTGACTGCAGGGTTTCAAAGCTGTGCAACTTTACTGAAGCAGACGACCACATTTTTCTCCCAGAGTGGCCAGTGCATTCATTAGTAGCCAAGAGCCTAACCACTGAACTACCAAGACTCCTATGCAAGCACAGGTCAAACAAATTTACAGTGAAAACAATCAGAGCAGTAATTGCCTCTGCGGGTAGGGCAGGGAGACAAAGCTGTCCTGAAAGAAGAAGAGAACTTCCTGGAGAAATGGACATCTTCTTGGCATTGAGGTGAGCAATGGTTACAGAAGTCAAAACCCATCAAAATTACACACTCAAGGGCTAGACATTTAAGTGTATTTGAAATATGCCTCAATAAAAATTGGGGGGGGGGATTAAACCATTCAAGACAGCAAAGATTTTTTCAAATATCTTTGGGAAATTTGTAACTTACCTCCTTTTCTTTTGAGCAAGATTGAGTTCCATAAACTTATACTTTTGGTATTGTTCGTCCAACTTCTTTAGTACTATATCTGCAGTCTCATTCCCAGGTTGTTTCATGAAAGAATCTACATCTTCCTTTAATATAAAAAATATAAGGTATTATAAATTTTAGAATACACACAAATCTTTTGACTGCTTTTTAAAAAGAAAAGAAAAATGATTTTTCTCTAAAGCCTTCTCTGATTTGTTTTTTTCCCCCAAACGCTTGTTTTTAACCAAAATTATAAAAAGTTAGAGAGCATTTCAGATGGTACACATAAATTATGTGGCTAATTTGTTCCTCCTCTATTCTCTTCTCTTTGCTTTTTATTTAGACCTTGCCAGCTTTATGCATGCCCCAGGAAGCCTTGGGCCTAACTATGAAAATTAGCAACGATCAAATGCACTGTCTAGTGTAACCTAGTCACACAATGATTCTACAGGCTGCATGCTGACATCAATGCCACTGCTTTTTAACTCAAAAAGCTTTGCCATACAAGATATGACAAAATACCCATTTATAAACTATCAAGGGTTCATGAGGGAGGGGGGAACGGGGAGGGAGGGGAAAAATGAGGACCTAATGTCGGGGGTTTAAGTGGAGAGAAAATGTTTTGAGAAACGATGTACAAATGCGCTTTACACAATTGATGTGTGTATGGATTGGGATAACAGTTGTATGAGCCCCTAATAAAATGTTAAAAAAAAAAAACCTGAAAAAAAAGAACTAGAAAAAAAAAAAGCTTTGCCATAGAAATCATTACGGCATTAGGTTCCTAAAAGGCAAGCCACAAAGGCTTGCTTAATGATCAACAAGTCAGCCTGAAAGCCCAACAGCATCCCTGATATCGTGGGTTACAGGTTCGGCAGCAAACCACAAGGTCAGCAGTTTGAACTCGCCAGCCGCCCACTGGGAGAGAGATGGGCCTTTCTGCTCCTTTAAAGGTTTACAGTCTCAGAAACCCACAGGAGCAGTTCTACTCTGTCCTATAGGGTTGCTGTGAGTTGGAATCGACTTAATGGCAACGAGTCTGGAGCTTTTGGGGGAGCACATGGTATCCACTAGCAAGAGCTTAGACGCTAGCAGGCAGTTAACAAAAGCAGCATAGGACTGTGGCTATAGGGCTTTCCGGCTTTGAACCAGGCGACCCCACTTACTGGCTGGGTTCACCTTGGAGGCATTACTTAACCTCCCTTGGTCTCAATTTCTGTATCTGTAGGCAGAGACTGAAACTTTCTTTTCCTCACAGGATGGTAAATGAGTTGGCATGCTTTAAAACGTTTAGAAGAGTAAATGACACCTAATAACATAAATCTCAATAAATGGTAAGCCATTACCATCCTATATTGGTAATTCAGTGGTAGAAATCTCACCTGCTACAAAGGAGACCAATCTGGCAGTGGAAGCTTACAGACTAAAAGAGACTAGGAACAAAGTCCTGCGATCTACTTCAGAAAACCCAGTAGATCGCAATGGTCCAATCCCAGACTGATCCTAGGGCTCGAGCAGGACCAGGCAGGGTTTCATTCCACTGTGCACGGGGTTACCATGAGAAGGACAGACTCGACAGCAGCTGACATAATATTCCTAGAATATAACGTGCTATGAATTCTATCTTAAGGTAGTGACTGGGGGAAAAAAGAGAGGGAGGGTGTATCTGAACAAGGTAATAGAAGATGATGAGTTCATTAAATGGATGGGGACAAACATTTGAAGAAGGGGAAGCGGGGAAGGAAGAGTTCTGACTTAATCACTATGGCATACTCAAACCAGAAAAACAAACTCACTGCCATCGAGTCAATGCTGACTCAATGACCCTATAAGACAAGGTAGAACTACCCCACAAGTTTCCAAGACTGTTAACTGTTTGCAGAAGTAGAAAGCCCCGTCCTTCTACATTCTATCAAAATAGAATGGAGCCTTGGTAGCACTGTGAGTTAGGCATTGTACAGTTAACCACCAGTCGCTCCAAGGGAGAAAGATGAGGCTATCTGCTCCAAAAATTGGAAACCCTATGGAGCAGTTCCACTTTGTCCTATAGTGCTTTGAGTCGATCGCAGTGGGTTTTTGGTTTTTATCATAATAAAATAAACAGGTTACCTGGCATATTTCCATTATGAAAGCATATTGCCTCTCATAATAACTCAGAAAGTATTATTATCTCCATTGTAGTTAAAGGAACTTAGGCTCATAGTGGCAAAATTAAATGTCCCATAGTAAGCAATTTGGAAGTAGAGGTGGGATTCAAATCTACTCAGATGCCAATGCTTTCCCCATAAGATCATGATATGCCAGTGAATTTAGGAATATAAAAATCATTATATAAATTTTGGAAATATTATGCTGGTAGAAATTCTAAATTTTTATGTCTAGGAAAAATTTTCAGAGAAACAAAGCAGTTTAAGGTCAGTATTTATCTCCTGATAAATGTCATCTCCTTGAATTCAATTTCTGAATACATCTCTAGCTGACCACCATGATCATATTTAAACTTAAAAACAAACAAACAAACCTTCCCTACCATTGAATCAATGCCGATGCATAACCACCCTACAGGGCATGGTAGAACTGCCCCTGTGATTTTCCGAGACTGTAACTCTTTACAGGAGTAGAAAGTCTTGTCTTTCTCCCAAGGAGTGGCTGGTGTTTTCCAACTGCTGGCCTGTGGTTAGCAGACGAATGCTTAACCACTACAGCACCTGGACTTCTGTAGTATTTTAAGGCACTAAGGAAATTCAATCCTTAGCTATGAACTTATAGACAATGCACAAGTAAAACAACTGTGGGCAGCTGATTTGGTTGGTGGACCCTAACCCACCCAGATGCACGTCAGAAGAAAGACCTGGAGACCTACTTCTGAATGGTCACAGCCTGGAAAGCCACACCAATTTTGCAGACGGGGTTACCAGGAGTTGAAACTGAGTGGGAGTCAGCAACCAACCATCACGCTTTCCTCCCCCAAGCAGGAGATGAAGGGTAAATGAGCGTGCAGTCCCAAGGAATGCCCGCGTTCTGAGCCGGTGTGACCCTGGCAAGGGACAGACACAAGGGCACTGTGCCTCAGCTTCATCAACTGCAAAATGGGGATGGTAACAACCGCTATGAGTTTTAGAAAATCCTTAGAAAAGTACTGGCAAATAATGAATGCTCATTGTACTCTATAGTTACAATCGCTGAGAAATAATTGTTAAGAAAAAAACGGCACAGCTCAGGGAGAAAATGGAGACACTGAGTACAAAATTACTATCAACAAATGCAAACATACAGTATAAGGCAGGTATATATTTAAGGAATGATGCAGGCTTAGTAAAAAGGGGGCTGGAAGGAAATCCAGTCACAAACGAAAGCAACACACCAAAACCCCAAACTCACTGCCATCGAAGTCAATTTTGACTCATGGGCCGCACTAACAGCATCTTGGTTACCCGTTGGGCTTCTAACTGCAAAGTCAGCAGTTCGAACCCACTGGCCACGAAGCTTTCTATTCCCATAAAGAGTCGTAGCTTAGGCAACCCACAGGACAGTTCTACCCTGTCCTATGGGGTCGCCAAGAGTCGGTATCAACTGGCAGTTAAAACTAAATCGAACGATTGAAAAAAAAAATCCCATCAGCGCTTTACAGTGGCTCAGCCAGAGCTGATTAAGGATGCTGGCCAAGGAGGGCCGAGGTTTCCTCTCATTACAAATTGCTAGGACCTGGGTCGGGCTCCTGGTGAAGCCTCCTATTCCGTTTCCCTCACTCCTCACTAAATTTTTAGGATGATGGGCCGACACCGAAATGTGACCTCGGGATGGTTTGACTTAGAAACCTTCTCCAGAGCAGCACCTCCGAGGGGTCGCAGTCACCAACCACCTAGGCCCCTCCCCCCAGGGACCAGCCTGTCCGCCCGGCTTAGGGCCTGAGCCCCACCGGTCCAGCCTGCCCCACCGCGGGCTCACGGTCCTCTAACTGTCCAGAGATCTCGGTGAAGTCCCGAGCTCTTTGCCGCCGACCCTTCTCCCGGGGCCCCAGGGCGGCAGTCAACGACACAAGGCGGCGGCGCGGTCGCCCTGGCCCACGCCCTACCGCCCCGCGATGGCCAGGTCCCCTTCTCAGAGTGGGTCTAGCAGAGACTGGCCCGGCCGAACACGCCATCCCGGGACCCTCCGGAGTTCAGGCCGAGGTGGGGTCAGAGGACAGTGTTCAGTCCTCCGCCTCGGGCCAAGGGGCCAAGGGCCGCCGTGACTCTCACCACAAACACGGCCTCAGGAATTCCCAGGTGGAGGCGCCGCAAGCTCCCTGTGGCCATTTCTCCAGGGGAACCACCATCCTTAACAGCCGCCATCTTGGTGAAGCGAGTGTGATCAAGCAGGCGACTAACTGCCTCCCAGGTTACCAGCCCGCGTGAGAGCTGTGATTGGCTCTGCCGCCCCTGCAAACCCGCCCCCTCCCGGTGAGTCTGCGCGATCATTGGTGTACAGGAAGGAACGGCTCCTCTCTGCTGATTCGCCCAACGTCTCGTTGCTGATTGGCTGCCCTCAGTCACGCGCGGTAGCGCCCATTAGCGGGGGAGGGGCCAACGGGCGCCTCTGGGGAAAGGTGTCTCCCTGGTTTTGTGGGCAGGTTGGAGCCCTGAGAGCATAGTGTTGGTTCCTAGCAATGAAGAAGCGGGTGGAGGACTTCTGGACGGGGAACCCAGCAGTGTCCATTTTCCAAGCACCCCATCAGGTCCCAGGCATCCGCAGGAGGAAAATCACCAAAGGGTGAAGGCCAACGCCCAGACTTCCCAGGGAGGGGGCGAAGCCGCCGGAGACCAGTTCTTCCGCCGGACTGCCCCTCACCGCAGTGTCTGTCTACGCAGCCACTGCCCCTCATCCCCTGACCAGTGTCAGGCTTGAGTGGGGGTGGAGGGGCAGTGAGGCATGTTCAGTCACCAGATTTCTGTCCTTTCCCCATACCTCTGTGCCTCTCACTCCGGTATCCATCTGTCTTCCTGGGGAAACTATTCTTTAAGAAGGAAGGTGAGTATAACCAAAAAAAAAGGAAGGTGAAATAAGAATATTTTGACATCAATGAAGGTTAGGAGAATTCATCAATAGACATGTACTAAAATAAATGGTAAACAATGTCATTCAGGCCGTGAGAAGGACGCTCCGTAGATTCTGTTCTGGCCAGCACCCTTTCCTGAGTCTCCGACTAGGGTTGTGAAAATGGCTTCCGGAGCGCAAGTTGCTGCTGAAGTATGTTGCGTTTCTCTGACATTAAAGTGTGGCAGTGCTCAATACCAGAAGAGGTTTTTAAAAATGAAAGAAGGCTGTTCATTGTTTGTCTCCGTGCAGACAAAAAGTGCATCATTGTAGAAGAAGGCAAACAGATACCGGTTGGAGATGCTTGAGTAACTGTAACTGAGGCTTTCAAGCATTTTGTGGGAATGCTTCCTTAAAAAGATTGTCGCTATGCTTTGTATGATGCAAGCTTTTTTTTTTTTTTTTTTAAACATTTTATTAGGGGCTCATACAACTGTTATCCCAATCCATACACACATCAATTGTGTAAAGCGTA